GGTCACCAGGCAATATTATCGCTTATCGCAATAAATTTTGAGACAATTAATCGCCCAGCAAAATTTGTTATCGTGACAGGCCTAGCTGACGTTAACTTTAGATCACAGTTTGAAATGTACACCGAAGAGAACCAGCATCACCACTGTGGTCCCAGTAAACGTGATGTGAGCAGTGTCTGGTTCACATGATGGTGGACGGCTGCGCTCGCTAAAACGTTCAGCGAGAAAAGACTGAAAGCTTTTTTATTTTAATCCAGCAGGGAGAACAATACAGGTGTTTTTCTATGCCTCATGTGAGCAGCTCCAGCATTTTAAAAAAGAAAAACAACGCAGACACGCTGATTACAGCGCGGTGCGAAAGTGAAAGTAAAACATGTCGCAGCGCTCCCATCTGAAAAAGAAACTTAAACACAGCTGTTCTCTCTTCCCTCATATTCTGACACAGAGGGTAGAAACAGYTAAATTAGACAGTTAAAACACATTTATAGTTCATAACTCACCCTTGTTGTTGTTAGCACTCTGTCTCACAACATTAGCTGCTGCACTCTCCCCGGGGGAAGGGGCGGACACATGCGCTCACGTGACCCAAAGAACGGATCGGCCAGTGTATCGGCCGATACCGATACAAGGAAAAAAACCAAATATCGGCCAAAAATATCGGCCGGCCGATGTATCGGTCGACCCCTACCGGAGAGGTTGTGGGATCCTCCACATGGAACTGGAGAGGGATCTCTAGGTTTTTCTCCTGGACCTTTAGCCTCCACAACCCGACTACAGATTAGCAGTAGAAGACACTGTAGCTACTCTTCTTTATACGGGTTGTGTATTCTGTAAACTCTTCTTCTACTGCTGTTAGTTTTCTGTAGCAACACCTGGTGCTAAACCAGGAAGCGTGGTGCATTTCAGTGTCTAACCAACCTGCCACCATGTTGGCAACAAACTGTCTCCATTAAATCTAATGTTTCTGTCTCCTGTCACAAACCCTCCAGGTTCCTCTGCCTAAAGAACAAAAACAGTGCTTCTATGGTGTTCAGCACATACACAGAGAAACACCCGTCCATAGAGAAGGGCCCCCCCTTTGTCCAGCCTCTACTAAACTTTATCTGGTTTCTGCTGCTGGCAGTGGATGGGTGAGCACTGCTCTTTACACAGTCTTGTATTTGAAGTGTTATTGAGCTCTGCATGATTCAAAGGGCAGTATTTGTTGAAGAATGATGTGTAGTCTGTCAAAATGTTTATTTTTGTATTTGTGTTTTAGGGGTAAGGTAACAGTTTTCACAGTGTTATGTGAGCAATATCAGCCTTCCCTGAAGAGGGATCCTATGTATAATGAGGTGAGTGTTCCAAGACTTACTTCACTCATTAATACATTTAATAAAATGTCAGCTGTGATGAGAAAACCACAGTTTCTGTTTGAAGATCAACTGAAGCAAAATCAAGTTGGTTATTCTACTGAAGCATCTGTGAAAATACAGCCAACACTGATGATGGTCTCCTCTGTGTGTTTCTCTCATCATACCGCTGTTCGTCAGTATCTGGACAGAATAGGACAGCTTTTCTTTGGTGTTCCCCCCAGACAGTCTCCATCATATGGTGGTCTGCTAGGTGAGTTGTTTCATTATCTCCTTTGTCAATGAACAGGATTCACACACTAGCAATCTGCTTCAGCATAAAGGTGCAAATAAAACATATGTACACCAATACTCAGAAAAAACAATTGAATTGGAGTAGGGTAGTTCAAATACAGTGATAAAGTGACATGATTACAACCCCTGGCAAAAAGTCTGGAATCAGCAGTCTCTGATGAGCACTCATTCAGACATTTCATTCTGTAAAACAAACTCAGATCAAAAACATGAGACAATAATAAGGTCATTCCAAAGGTCAACTTGTTGGCTTTCAGGAACACTCAAAGAAATGAAGAGAAAACATTGTGGAAGTCAGTGAATGTTACTTTTATTGACCAAGTACAGGGAAAAAAAGTATGGAATCACTCAATTCTGAGGAAAAAGATATGGAATCATGAACAACAGATAAACAAAAGACCATTCAAAATACATCACTAGTATTTAGTTGCACCACCTTTRGCTTTTATAACAGCTGCAGTCTCTGAGGCATGGACTTGATGAGTGACAAACAGTATTCTTCATCAGTTTGGTGCCAACTCTCTTTGATAGCAGTTATCAGATCAGCTTTGCAGGTCGGAGCTTCTTGTGGACCATTTTCTTTTTCAATTTCCACCATAGGTTTTCAACTGGGTTGAGATCTGGACTAATTGCAGGCCATGACATCGACTGAATGTGTCTTTCTCCAAGGAATGCCTTCACTGTTGTAGGGATGAGTTATTTATGCAAATAACTTACCTACATCTTCCCATAACTAGGTTATGAGAGTAAAATTTTACCAAGGTTTCTTCTCATTACTTTAATATTTGTCTGTGCAAAGTGAAGGGACACAATG